TGATGGACTCAAGTATGGCAACAATGATGCTTATGGCCCAGGATCGGGCAGTGTCTCCTTCTGCTGTGCATAAGGTTGCTATGAATTGGTACCGACTCAATGGTACCTAACAACAACAACAGCAACTGTATTTCCACCACATGCCAGTTTAATATTGTACAGGGGGCCAAGATGAGGAAAACAGAGAACTTTAAGGCCATATGCCAAAATTATATAATAGCATCTTCTTTAGAATAGTACATATTCTACTGAGAAAAATAGTTTTGTAGTTTTAAAGATATACTTGTGGTGGTGGTGGTGGTGTGCCGTGGAGTCAGTTCTGACTCATGATGATCCTGTATAGGGTTTCCCAGGCTGTAGGATTGTTATGGGAGCAGAAAGCCTCATCTTTCTCCCATGAAGCGGCTGGTAGTATTGAACTTCTGACCTTGAGGTTAGCAGCCTGACTTGTAATCACTACACTACCAGATCTCCTAAGATATAAATATACACGTGTTTAATAATTTAAAGACATTTACATAATCTTAAGATGTTATGTTATCATTGTTGTTAAGTGTTGTTGAGTTAGTTCCAACTCTTAGCAACCCTCTGTAGGGTTTCCAAGGAGCACAGCTAATGAGTTTGAGCTATTGACCTTGTAGTTCAAACGGACCTTGTGGTCCCGTACTTATCCTACATACCACATTTAAAAGAAAAAAGAAATTGCATATGAATTACTTTTTGACATTGTATATTCTAAAACTTTTTATTACAGAAAAAAATTAAATCAATACAAAAATAACCCATCACCAATTTGAAAAAATGCCAGCCCATGGCCAATCTTATTTCATTAATAACTCTGTGCACTCTACTGTTCCTATATTATTTTGTACTAAGCCCAGACATGTTTTATTCTATTTTCAGTACCTTTTCTCTAAAAGATAATGTCTCCATAACCTATATTATAAATATATATTTGCATGTATATAGATAGAGGAAGTTTTAGGAAATTAGTCACTAGGCCTAGGAGTTCAAGACCACCATAGTCTTAGGGGACACGAGTATCATTTGACATACATAGCCCCAAAGACATTGCTCCACATTCTACTTTGATGAGTACTGAGAGGGGTCTTAAAAACTGGTGAGTAACCATCTAAGTTGCAACTATTGGTCTTTCCCCATCTGGAGGATAAAAAGACTGAAGAAGCTGGAAATGCATGGAAACAGTTCAGTAGTTTAATGGACAACACAAACATCAGCCTCCATGACCCTGAGACCAGAAGATCTAGATGGTTCCCAGCAACCAACTGCTCTAAAAGATAACATTAGGAAGTCTTAGATAGAACGGGAGAAAAATGTGGAACAAAACCCCAAATCATAAAAAACAATAGGCTTACTGGTCTGATAGAGACTGGTAGTCTCAAGTACGGTCCTTATCCTTCGGGTCTGGAACTGAACTCAGTTTTCTGCCATACTACAGATGAAGTGAACATTAATAATAGTGAGGTATGCTTACCATAGAATAATCTACCATTTGAGATCAAAAGGGCAGTATTTACCCAAAGACAATGTCCAGAAGTATTAGGAAAGAAGAGGGAATGGAAATGGGAAACAGGGAAGAAGTTGGATAAATTCATGCAATCAATGACATAGAACAAAATATTTATGAAATATTGAATGGAAAACTGATGTACTCTGTAAATCTTCACCCAATTCATAATAGAAACTTAAAATACAATTATATATTTATATGTAGCCATAATACAATTTTGTTATCACACCTAAAGTTTTAACAATCATTCCATAATGCTACCAAATTCGGAGTTCAAATTTCCAAGTGTTTCTTAAATATCTTTTTTTTTTTAAATATTTTTAAAGCACGTAAATGTTGTTTAGTGCCATCGAGTCAGTTCTGTCTCATAGCAACCCTATTTGGGGAGTCCAAGGTTGAAACTCTTTAGGAGAGCAGAAAGCCTCATCTTTCTTCCATGGAGCAACTAGCTGGTGTACTCAAACTGCTGACCTTGTGGTTAACAGTCCAGTGTTTACCTTTCAGAACCACCACATTCCCATTGCTGTGTATAGCACATTGTTGTCGTTAAGTGCCATTATGACCCTGTACAGAGTTTCCAAGGATTGTTTGGTTCCAAGGTTGATTTGAACTACCAATCTTGTGGTTATCCTACAGCACCACACCAGGAGTCTACTTATAGCATAGAAGTAAGTAAGTTAAACACCTAACAAATTAGTAATAAAATCATTCTTGGATTTCTTGCATGTACTTTTGCTTTTCAGTGCCTTGATATGCTACAGTGCTTAGGCATTCCATGGGTTCAAGCTGCTGGGGAAGCTGAAGCTATGTGTGCTTACCTGAATGCTAATGGTTATGTAGATGGCTGCCTCACCAATGATGGAGATGCTTTCCTTTATGGGGCACAGACTGTTTACAGGAATTTCACTATGAATACAAAGGTATTTCTCTTTTTCTGGGTTTTAAAGGATTGTCCAATGAATAAATGAATTAATGCATACCACCTTTTTCATGTAATGCCTGGCATATGTTGTTGTTGTTGTTAAGTGCCGTTGAGTTGATTCCGACCCATAGCTAGCCTGTATAGGGTTTCCAAGGAGCAGCTGGTGAGCTTGAACCTCTGACCTTGCAGTTCAAATGGCTTTGCAGTCTGGCGCATTAACCCACAGCGCCACACCGGGACTCCTAAGCAACTGCTAATTATGCATTAACTGTAGCACTGTGTGTTAATGCTCTAGACTACAAGGTAGGTTTGAACCACATGGTCGGTGGTTCAAGCACACCAGCCACTCCTTGGAAACCCTACATAGGATTTTCTGTATGAGTCAGAACCAACTCCAGGGCACTTAACAGCAACAACAACATTACCAAAATATTATTGCCACATCATTCCAAACAAGGTCACGACTTGTTTTTACATGATCTAATACTAACTAAATCAATCTAAATTATATATCCCAAAGTTACAAATGAAATGTATTGCTTTACATTTAGTAGCTTGTTCTCTTGCACACCCTTCAAATATGAAAGGAGAGATATTCAAAAATAGTCATTATAATGTTGTTGTTGTTAAGTGTCACCGAGTCAGTTCCAACCCATGGTGATCCTGTATAGGGTTTCCGAGTAGTGACAGGTAAGCTTGAACCACCAACCTTGTGTTTCAAACCAACTTTGCATCCAGCACATCAACCCACAGCGCCACATCAGGACTCCCATGATAGCACAATAATTGCTAAAATGGTTAAATAAACTATTGCCATGGGCATTTTGTTGTAATAATGAAGATTTAGGGAAGAGAGGCTACAGATGTTTGGTACGTTGTGACCAGGCAAGCTAAACATATTGCAAGACAATTCTGCTATGCCTCCCAAAATGATAGTAGTGTCCTTATTTTGAGAAACACAGCCTTAGAGTTCAGATAATGGAATACTAAACAGTTATTAGAAATACATATAAGAGGGTAAGTCAAAAAGTATTGATAAAAAATCAGAAAAATCTTTATCAAAATGTGAAGTTACTGTTTTTCAGCATACCCTCTGTCTAAGTTTATACTCTTCTGACGGTGGTGTTTCCATCTCTCTAACCCTTCTCAAAAGAATTCTACACGCTTTAATTTTTACCACATCATAACAGCAGTTTTATCATCTTCAAGAACCTCATATCATGTTTCTTGGAAATGTTCTTTAAGTTTTGGGAACAAAATGAAGTCTGAAGGAACAAGATTAGTTTTGTACAGTGGGTGGGATAAGGTTCCCATTAAAATTCCAAGAGGACAATCCATGCTACCCTGGAAGAATGAGCAGGTTTATTGTGATGGAAAAATATCCCTTGGCATGATTTTCTTGGTCTTTTTCTCACCAATGCAGTTTTCAATTTTCTTAAAACAATTCATAATAAGCCCCCAATCATTATGTGTTGTTAAAAAAAAAAATCTATAAAGGTTACCCCATTTGGGATTCCAAAAACAGTTCATGTAGCCTTGTGAACTGACATGTTTCCCTTGAATTTAATTGGTCCAGCAGAACTGTCCTCCAAAAATTTCATGAAAAAGTCTTGCTTCTTTCATCCTATAGCCGTGATCTTTCCCCTATAGACTATTTGTTTGTTTCCCCAACTCAGCCTTTGAAAGGAACATAATTTGAATCCCTCGAGATGCCAAACTATTTTTTTGTGTGGTGTAAATCCCAGAGCTCAGAATTCTCTGGGGAAGTGTTAGTGAGATGGAAACACCACTTCCAGAAGTGTACAGATCCTAGCTCAAGGATATGTTAAGAAACAATCTAGGGTTGATATACTTCATGTTTTGATATTTTTCTTTAGTAAAGATTACTATGAATCTGTAAGCAATACTTCGGGACTTACCTTCATTTTTGGTAAATGTGTTGTTTGTTACGTGCCCTCGAGTTGGTTCCAACTCATAGTTACCCTTGTGTAGGGTTTCAGAGGAGTGGCTAGTGGGTTTGAACCACTGTCCTTGAGGTTAGCAACTCAGTATTTTTCCTACAGTGTCACACCAATAGTTAGCTTTTGTTGTTATTGTTAAATGCCTCCGAGTCTGTTCTGACTCATCGCAACCTGGTATAGGGTTTTTGGAGAGTGGCTGGTGGGTTTGAACTGCCTCATTGTAGTTCAAAACCAACCTTGTAGGCCAGTGCTTATCCTACAGCAGCACAACCAACAGGACTCCAATAGGTAAATTTGTTGTTGTTGTTAAGTGCCGTCGAGTCGGTTCCGACCCATAGCGACCCTGTACAGGGTTTCCGAGGGTGTAAATCCTTACGGGAGTAGAAAGCCTCATCTTTCTCCCGCGGAGCGGCTGGTAGTTTCGAACCGCTGACCTTAAGGTTCGCAGCCCGATTCGTAACCACTACGCTACCAGAGCTCCTTAATAGGTAAATTTAGGTGATATAATTATAGGAGGTATTCACTTTTATACCTTTTAAACATTTTTGAACCTTATAAAATTAAGATGTACTTTTCTGGACACAAAAAATAAAACTCTGGCTCATGGGCAAGAAGATGATAGCCATTTTCAAAAAGAGGCCTTCAGTCCTAATGTATTGGAGGAAAACTCACTAACAGTTTGCAAAATGATACAACCTTGCTTGCTGAAAGTGAAGAGAAGAGGACTTAAAATACTTACTGATAAAAATCAAAGACCACAGGCTTCAGTACAGGTTGCACCTCAATATAAAGAAAACAGAATTCCTCATGACTGGACCAATAAGCCACATCCATATAAAGGAGCTCTGGTAGCATAATAGTTACGAATTGGGCTGCTAACCTCAAGATCAGCAGTTTGAAACTACCAGCTATTCCGCAGGAGAAAGATGAGGCTTTTTGCTCCCATAAAGATTTACAACCTGGGAAACCCTGTGCTGGGTCGCTGTGAGTCAGAACCGACTCCACAGTACTTAACAACAACATATAAATGGAGGAAAGATTGAAGTTGTCAAAGACTTCATTTTGCTCAGAAGCAGTTGTCAGGAAGTCAAAGGACATAGCATTAGGAAAATTTGCAGCACAAAACCTCTTTAAAGTATTGAAGAGCAAATTGTTTGAGGACTAAGATGTGCCTGATTCAAGCCTTGATATTTTCAGTAACCTCATATGCATGTGAAAAGTGGACAGTGAATAAGGAAGACCATAGAGGAACTGATGCATTTGAGTTATGGTGAAAAAGAGGAAAAGCCCCAACAAAATGGTGCATAGGGTTACTGTGAGTTGGTACCATCTTGGTGACACCTAACAACAACAACAACATGATGGAAACATTTTGGATGCCTGCATATTTGCTTTGTTAGCTGCTTTTGGAAATGTGAGTTGCCTGAAGTTATTGTAGATGAAGAAGGTGAAGCCTTGGGCTCTGTAGTCACAGCCAGCTTTAAACTACTTAGTTCCTTTTAACCTTCTCTGTAGAGGAATAATCCATAACTGAGCTTACTACAGTGATGAGCCTATCAGTAAATTTCGTGTTGTTGTTCTTAAGTATCACTGAGTCATTCTGACTCATAGCAACCCTGTATAGGATTGCCAAAGAGCAGCTTGTGGGTTTGAACCATCAACCTTGCAGCTAACAGTACAGTGCTTATTAAGTTTAAAAGAAAACAAAAAACAAAACAGGCAAAGAGATGGTTTGAAAAGAGAAAAAAAGAAAATACTCCATTTTCACATAACGCTGATATTTGTATAATGGAACCTAATTGTGTTGATAAGTGAAGAGTGATGGATTTAGTTCATCGTTTATTGTTTTTGAAACCATGACCTTATTTCCAGATAGTCATGTGTCAGACTCAGTGTGGGTTCTGATGATCAGTATAATTTTCTTTCTTAGGTTCCTTAGAAATAATTAACCATTTATAGATAACTTTGATGGATTGCTGTTTAATGTGCATATGAATGTTTATTTTCTGAAGGTTAAATTAAAGCTATACTTTCTTTTAGGACCCACATGTTGAGTGTTACACAATGTCATCTATCAAGAGTAAATTGGGTTTGGATAGAGATGCATTGGTTGGGCTATCAATACTACTTGGCTGTGATTATCTTCCAAAGGTACACTGAATTGTCATATTCATTTACTGCTTAGAATGTGCCTTTTAGGACCATACATATTGTCTAAATGTAAATATAATATGGTTATATGATTAAATAAGAATCTAATTTAAAATACAATTTTAGATATAATATATGAGCATTTCCAAAAGCTACTCATTGTGACACTGAGTCATAAAAACTAGAATAAAGTACCACAGCTTGCATTTCACTGCTCTCATACAAAAAATTCACAAGCAAGCTTGACTAAGCTTTTAAAGAACTATAGGAATTAATCTTTTCTAATTCATACCAGTGCCACTTTCTCTCACTGTTTTACCTCTTTTTTTTAAGTTTGCAGCCTTCATTGTAGCTTTCCATTTGTACATATGCTCAATTTCATTATTACTGTTGCTGGGTAGCATGATTACTAGGGTAAACCATTTGTCCTGTGCCTACATCTTATCACTCAATTAAGTTTTGTTCATGAAACGTTTATTTGTATCTTATGTTGCAAAATATTGTACTCTTAAATAAATAGACATAATAGATGAGTAATGATGATGAATTATGAGGATAATCCTATTTTAAAAATATATAATGATTGAAACTGTAGCTTTTACTGTGCAGTCCTATCATGTCCTGTTAATCCTCTCTCAATCTTCGCTTTCCAAATGCCGCATACCTTTATCCCCAAGAATAGTCTAAAGAAGAATGGCTTTTCTTTTTCTACACTTGAGCTTAGGGGAAAGGCAGAAATCACAAGATGGTAAAATTATTAACCCTAATTTCTATCAGTGGACAAAATGAAAAAATAAAATTTTTCTAAATTAATAAAAGGAAATTATAAATAACACCAAAATAATTGCCTTAGTATAATTTTCATTTTAAAACAGAAGACTGCTTCTTCCCATATATAATTACATGATAGTTAAAATCTCAAAACCATTCAGTATTGCATTTGAGAACATTTTGTAAACTTGAACTGACAGAAACCAACTTTAACTATGATGGTGTTTACATTGTGCATTGCCTTCTGCTGTTTTGACCTTCGCCATCCTATTTAACCAAAGCTGCACTTTTTTTTTTTTACATTGTTTTACTTAAATATTTTTAAGATTATGTTCTAACGCAATTTGCCTTCAAAAATTTAAGATATGACTAAATATTAATACAAGAAGAGTGGTATTCAAAATATTTAACAACTGATACAGAAAAAGACTGGAGAGGTGAAGTAGGGTTTTGCATGCCCTCTGCTGTGCCATATGCTACTTTTTGAGTAGTTGGATCCTGAGTGAAGGCAGGTATTCATCCTAGTGTGACACTGTGGGATAATGCACTGAACCAAAAGGTTGGCAGCTCAAATTCACCAGCTGCTCCTTGGAAACCCTACAAAGGGTTGCTATGAGTCGGAACCTACTCAATGGCACTTAACAACAACAACAATTCATCAATTTTATAGGAACTGACTCAATGTAAAACAGAAACTGCTGTGTAAATATATGTTTTATTTTATATTGAAACCTGACATGTTTTAATTATCTTAATTTTTTTCATTTTAAGAGTTAATGTGAAACTCTGCTTTGATATATATGGATGGCTGTGTCTTTAAATATTAAATATTCATATAATTAAATGAACTTACTTTTTCCTGTTTACAAATATAACAAAGTATATAAAACTAAAATAAAAGCCCTCTAAAATTCTGTCCCTTCCTCCCCCAAAATAAATACTGTCAGTGGGATTTTGCTTGTTTGTCAGTTATATAGACTTTATGATCTAGATCATACTTTAAGCTATTCTTAAACAATCTAGATCATACTTTAAGCTATTCTTTTTCTTTTATATATTTAGCGTATCTTGCTTGGATGTTTTTACCTAACATTACCTGAGTGATACCTTATTTTTTGGATCTTTCACTGAGTGGGTGTATCATACTGTATTTAACCATTGTCTAGTGATTAACATTTGAATTTTGTTCCCCCATATTCTGAAAGGGAGTCCCAGGAGTTGGGAAAGAGCAAGCTTTAAAACTTATACAAGCTTTGAAAGGGCAAAGTTTACTTCAAAGGTAACTAGTAATTACTTTTTCTTGTGAAATTGGACTTTATAATGTTGTTGAGCTTAATAATCAATATGACAAAAAGAAGTATGCATTCTAAAATATTATTTTATATTTTTAAACTAGTCTGTATGTTAAAATAATTTATTTTCATATAATCTAGAGCTTATCAAAGGAAGGATAAGAATATATTTTCTAAGCCACACTGCATATATGTTTAAATATCATTGACTCACTATAAATATAATCAATGTGATATCAAATGCATTCATTTACAACTCCAGGCATTTCGCTACAGGCTATCTCATACAGTTTTAAAGTAAAGTGAAAATAAACATGACATTAAAGTAGTTTTGTATTTTACACTTTGTTGTTGTACTGATTTTTTGTAAATGAAATACCTGTGTTACATTGCAAACATTTAATAATAAGAAACAGCTGATCAAAAATTTTATCTGATTGCTCTTGATTCTGTATCTACACATTTAATAATGTAAAAATAATCAATTAACTCTATAATAATTTGAGACATTAAGATAATGATACTATACTAGGGGGCTTCAAAAAGTTAATGGAAAATAGAAATAAACGATAATAGGATTTTTCCATGAACTTTTTGAAGCTTCCCTCAAATACTGAAACTTAGAAATTATACTTACTGTGTACTATCTAAAAGCACTTTATAGTTACTTGATGAAAGCAGTGTTTTGTAAAATTAATACTGAAGATGGTAAGGTATAGAGTAAATAAGGAAATGAATGAGGATACCAGTGTGGCTCTGTAGAATAAGCACTGGACTGCTAACCACAAGGTTGGCAGTTCAAACCCATCAGCCTCTCTTTGAAAACCCTATACAGGGTCACTGTGAGTCAGAACTCCTTCGATGACACTTAATAACAACTAATAGGTAGCGATGATGAGTGACCAAAAAGCAATGTTAATTGGTAGAAATGAAGAAGGAATGGCCATGAAAAATATTCAAATCACTGTACTCTTACTTATGATATTTTCTTTCAGCTATAAAACTGTTGCTAGATCTAAGACTTCAATAAAAATCCATTATTGACATCAGTACTTACTTTGCCAAAGCAGGAAAGAAAAGGTATACTTAGACATACGGGTAAAGTTACGAAATCATATGGAAATTGTGAAGAGTAATATAAAAGACAGTAACAAGTTAAAAACCATTTCTATTGAACACATCCTGTATATGTACTTTGGCAACTTTTGATTAAATGTTTACCCTAACACTTTTAAATAATGGAACTACATTTCTTTTTAAAATGCTTTTTAATTCTAATTTTCATTCATTAAGACTGAGTTTTTTCCCGAGTTATTTATAATTTTTGAAGTGGACTTCTGGTGTGGCACTGTAGAATCAGCACTAGATTATGAACCACAAGGCCAGTGATTTAAGCCCATGAGCCGCTCCTCAGAAACCTGATACAAGGTCACTATGAGTTGGAGCTGATTCAACAGCACTTAACAACAAAAAACTTTTTGCAGAGAGTCCTAGTATAGCACGGTAGGATAAGCACTAGACTGCAAGGTCAATTTGAACCTCAAAGTCGGCAGTGCATACCCACCAAGCTGCTCCTTGGAAACCCTATACAAGGTCACTGCGAGTGAGAACCAACTCGATATTAATTAACAACCACAATAGTTATTTGCAGTAGTTAATTTTTAGAAAGCTTATAGATGAACTCAAGCTTGACAACAGTAGTGAGGTTGGCCCAAGATCGGGCAGTGTTTCGTTCTGTTGTGCCTACGGTCGCTGTGAGTTGGTGCCGACTTGATGGCATCTAACACCAGCAACAACAATACTTGGCTTTTGTATCAAAGCAGTTGGAAATTCCAAGAGTTTGATAATTATTCTAAGTACAGATGCTATACAGTGAACTGCAGATTTAAATTAGATTTTGATTAAAACTTGAACTTCTATAAATAGAGAAATATGATTCATAAAATTTACACTTTATTTTTAGTACCTAACTATCCCCTTGGTGGAGTACTTGTGTGGCACTATGGGTTAATGCATCAGACTGCAAAGCCGTTTGAACTGCAAGGTCGGCGGTTCAAATTCACCAGCTGTTCCTCGGAAACCCTATACAGGGTCGCTATGGGTCGTAATTGACTCAACGGCACTTAACAACAACAACAATCCCCTTGGTGGTAGTCCCTGATGGGTGCGAACAGTTAACATACCTGGCTATTGACTGAAAGTGGAGGTTCAGTTCCACTCAAAAGCACATTGGAAGAAAGCCTTGGCAATCTACTTCTGAAAGTAGCCATTAAAAATACTAGGGAGTACAATTCTACTTGGTCACACGCACACAGTAAATCCTAACTGGCTTGATGGTAACTAGTTGTTTTGGTTTTCTATCTCATTTAGCCAAAAGTAAAATTAACTTTTATTTTGTAGAAGTCTTAGTAGTACTATTGTTGTTGTTGTTGTTAAGTGCCATCGAGTTGATTCCGACCCATAGCGACCCTGTATAGGGTTTCCGAGGAGCAGCTGGTGATCTTGAACCGCCGACTTTGCAATTCAAACGGCTTTGCAGTGTGGCGCATTAACCCACAGCGCCATACCAGGACGCCAGTAGTACTATTAGGGGACTTCAAAAAGTTTGAGAAAAAATACCATTCTCTTTTCATTTCATTTTTCCTCAGACTTTGTGAAGCCCCCTCATAAATACTTTTCATTAAGTAAGGAATATTCCATTTAAATAAAACATTTGAATACTGTTTTATTTAGTCTTATAATTTATCCTTCACCCTTATTTTTGTATAGAAAATGTTCATATGCATGATTTCATTGTTTTATACTCAGACACACAGAGAAGAGATCTAGGTATATGCAAGTTTTCTCCCCACCTATTACTGCCTAGTTTAAGATTCTTTAATACATTTGAAAGTGTAAATAATTTTTATTTTCTTAAAAAATTTTGGTACATAGTCTGAGTGTGACCCAGGGAAAGTTGGGCTAGCAACTTTACCACCAAAGAATAAGTGGACAGCTGAAAGGGAACAGAATAGTCTGAATCCTGAGACCTGGCATTTTTGTGACTTCATTATTTTATTTTATTTCTTAATGAAATCATTTTCTACTAAAGATTTAATCAGTGGAATGAAGAATCTTGCTGCTCTGATACACAAGCACAAGTTGTTAAAAAGCTACCACATTGCTCTGTATGTTCCCATCCAGGTAAGCAAATACAAGAAATACTGTCTTCATAATATTAATGCCTGATAGCCACATTTTTATTCCTTTTCTCATCATACTTTGAATTTACCAAAATGAATAGCATTTTGAAGTCTTTTACATCTTTTTCCCCACTAGATGGAATATTCTTTAGAGCTAGGAGTGTGTCACATACAACTGACACAGTGTCTAGTGGATGCTCAATAGTAAGTGTTTATTGAGTGAAATAATATGATGTAAATGATATAGAGTAAGTACAGTTTCAAATTATAGTGCTAAATTACTTAGATAATAAAACTATCATCTGTTTTCAATATAGAAATTCCTTTTAATAATAGAATATAATAGACTGATAAGTCTTAGTAAAATGGAACTGAAACCATATATCAGTATATACTTAAATAATTCTTAGAGATCCTATAATGCATTTTTACTGTGTATGAAGATACACACTTTGTATATACTAATCTCTACTACATTATTGAGAATTGCTTAGACTGTTCATTAATTTTGGGAAGAAATTAGGAAATCATGTTAGTTTATTTGAAAAATTCTGCTTTATTGTGTAAATATGTTTTCATTAACATTTCGTTAAATGATACATGAAATTATGGAAGAAAACAAATATTTACATAGATCAGATGTGATCCTATATTTTTTTATACCTTATAAAGACACTTTTAGGTGATTTCAAGTGTGTAGACTTATTCATATTCTCAAAACAGTGTTGAAGCTAGTCAGTGCTTTCTTTCGAAAGTGAACTAGTATCCCACACCTGTCTTGCAGTTATAACTTGTTCATGTTTCAAGTATAGTTTAAAAATAACTATACAGGCAACTGGAATCTCGATACAAGGTAATTTTAATTGCTATATTCTTTTAGCGAAACTATTTTATGAATTTTTCTATTGATTGAAAGTTTTTTATACTAATAATTGCATCTTTTTTTTTTTTTTTGCATGTTCCTACTCTGGTAGCATAGTGGTTACGAATCGGGCTGCGAACCATAAGGTCAGCGGTTCGAAATTACCAGCCACTCCGCGGGAGAAAGATGAGGCTTTCTACTCCCGTAAAGATTTACGCCCTCAGAAACCCTGTACAGGGTCGCTTTGGGTCGGAACCACCTCAATGGCTCTTAACAACAACAACAACCACATAAACCATAGAAGTTTTTATTTTGGATAATTGTAAATGCATAATTTCAAATTTAAATTAGCACTTTTAGACAGAAGAGTACTGGGGGGTAAAAAAAGTAGTAATATTGAGCTGAAGATCTGCTTTGGCCTAAAAATTACCATGGTGTTCTTGACTCTGTTCAACCAAAGTGATTTAAAAGCCTTTTTGAAAATTTGGGTAAGGAACAAAAAAAATGTATGTATGTAAGTGTTGAAACCATAGTTATTTGTCTCCACAAAGGTTCATCTAAGGATCATGAACGTAATGGATGCAAATTATGTAAAAGTAGTAAATATTGTGAACCACATGATTATGAGTACTGCTGTCCATGCGAGTGGCACCTTATAGAACGGGGTAGACAACTAAATGCAGTAGAAAACAGCATTAAGAAGTAAGTTTTTTTAAGACCCATTTTACTTTATATACATGTAATTGAATTGTTTCCACATAATTTTTACCAAATAATAATTTAGTAAAATATTTTATGGAGTCTTGGTGTGACGCTGTAGAGTAAGCACTGGATTGCTAGCTCCAAGGTTGGTGGTTCAAGCTTACAAGCCCCTCTTTGGAAACCTATACAGTTAAAGGGTTTTCAATAGCACTTAAGAACAACAGCAACAAATTATTTTACAAAATCCTTATCTAAATTCTATCAAAAAAGCAGACTGTCTCAGAAGGCAGCTTAAACAAAGAGAAGCCTGATGACTGTTTGGGGTACTGCACAGGGACCTTCTTCATTAAACTGGAGGGGGAGCAATGAAATGATTTTGGAGTCTGTCTAAAATTGCCTAATGTTATTGATAATAGGTGTATAATTTACTTTCAGAAAAGCTTGCAGTTGTGAGGGATTCCCATTCCCTGAGGTAATAACCAATAATTCAACTGTTCATTTATTTTAGAAGCGTCTTAAAAAGTTTAAATTCTTAATCCTTGTTTTCTTTATCCTTCCTAGGTTACTCAAGAATTCCTTTTAAGCAAGGATAAATTGCCGAAGGTTATCAGGTTCCAAAGACCTGATTTATTATTGTTTCAGGTATTTGAAAATTAGTTTTTGCTCCACAGAATAAAGTTAGATACTGGGAATATTGGGAGGAATATTCACTTTGATTAATCTTGAAAGGAGGTTTGAAACATGCAGCTATTTGCTGCCCGTATTTTTTCAGCATTTTATTTCTAATCCTCACTCCTTTGCCACATAGTGCCCATACATTGCAGACAGTAAGACCAACCACAATTATACTGCTCTTCAGACAACACTTTAAATACCATGTACAGATATATTGTGAGGCGGGGAAGGAGGCTTTAACCAAAGAATGTCAGCAATCAAGCATATTACTGTAGAAGACTGGAATCTACCAGGGGTTTTAGGATTTGTAATTAGTGACCTGAGTTTAAACTTGGACAGTCTTTTACTTTGAAAAGACAAAACCCACTACCATCTAGTAAATGCTAACTCCTAGGTGCTAACTCATAGGCTAGAATAGAACTGTCCCATAGGGTTTCTAAGGCTATAAAACTCCATGGGAGCAGACTGTCACTTACTAACTGGGTATCCTTTATCCCCAAAGTAGAAATAATATTTTTTATCTCATGAATTCACCATGAGGATTAAGTGAGATTACATATTTGTTGTTGTTGTTAATTGCTGTCCAGTCGGTTCCTACTCATAACGACCTTGTGTAGGGTTTCTGTGTAGCGACTGGTGAATTTCAATGATGTAAATAAGCCCCTAAAGTAGTGGCTTACTTAATAAACCTTAACTCATCTTATCTGAACTAATTATTATGTAACATTCCCTATTTAGGAGACTTTGTTCTTTCTGGCAATATCTCCATTGAGACTACTTTAATAGTATTAATTCTGCAGGAAAAATGTCATCTAAGAGTACTATTTGTCTTTAAAGGTAACATCAAAATTTTATTTTTATTTTACTTAACAGAGATTCACCTCTGAAAAAATGGAGTGGCCTAATCACTATGCATGTGAGAAATTATTGGTGCTTATGACCCACTATGACATGATAGAAAGAAAATTTGGTAGAAGGAACTCTTGTCAACTACAGCCAATTCGGTAATACAACAAACAGCTGTGTAAAGAAGGCTCTGTGTTTTCACTGGAATATTTTATGATGAAAAATATTCTTAATATCTTAATAGTTGTTATTAAGTTCTGTTAAGTTGGTTCTAATTCATGGAGAACCCTGTATTGGTTTTCCAAGGCTGTAAATCTTTACAGGAACAGAAAGCCTCATTTCTCTCCTGTGGAGCGGCTGATAGTTTACTTTGTAGTTGCATATCCTACAGAGATTCCAGATATGTGTATATGTACACACATACACAAGAGAGCTTCAGAAAGCTCGTAGAAAACTTCTTTTATCTTTTAATTCCAATTTGGTACGAACTTGTTGAAGTTGCCTTATCTATGTATGTGTATGCGTATTACTGTGAAAGACAATGTAATTTACAAGGATATTAGTTAAGTTTAAATTCAGACAGTCTTTTATTTTCAAAAGCCAAAATCCACTGAAATATCTAATCAACTAGGATATTAGAAGATACTATTCAGGACTATAAAGTTCTTGTGTAGCGCCGTGAAATAAAGCCCTGGACCACAAGTGGTTCAAACTCACCAGCCATTCCTTGGAAATCCTAGACAGGCGTGCTATGAGTTGGAGCCTACTCCATGGCACTTAACAACAACAGGGCTTACAGTCAGGATGATGATATACTTCTATTTTTCAAACATAAAGTACTGAGCGATTATACAAAGAAAGAAATATAAAAAGATATAACCAGGCTTAAGTACATAATAATTTTAATAGACAAGAAAAAGCCCAAAAATGTTAAGTGAAGGGAGGACTGAAATAACTTGCAGAGCCCAAAATGTGGGAGCAACAGTATCATCCAGGAGTTAAGTCCTTTAGAATAAAAGTGACACAGCTCAAAAGTGCAGGATGTTGATGGAAGGAGGCATATGACTTAAAAGTCAGTTGCTGTGCTAGAATCCCCCCTGTTTCTATAAAGGGATTGGGTAGCCAAGTGCTTCTTGGGACTGGAAAGTCTGCTTAAAAATTCAAAAACACCAGAGAGATAGGTAAGGACAGTGACAAAATAAAAAGGATAGACATAAATTTAAAAAAATAGCATGACATACAAAGTAATACAGAACTTAAAGAAATTCTACAACTGGAAAATGAATTCATTGCAGATTAAATTAATTTTATGAGACAGTCTGACGGTTCCCTCTGCCCCTGTTGGCTTTTCAGAATGTTAAGTAAGAATGTTCATTGAAATTAATGAAGATATATATCCATAAGAAACAAAAATGAAATGTGAAACAAAAGTGGACAGAAATGATTTAAAATGGATATAAAAAGTAAATGATTGTCAGCACTACCCAAAGGATCTATAGGTATAATGCTATCCCAGGAGAAAGTCCAACATTACTTTTTAAAGAGATGGAAAAACTGATCGCTCGCTTTATATGGATTGGAAAGAGACCCCGGATAAGTAAAGCTTACTGAAGAAGAACAAAGTAGGAGGTCTCTCACTTTTCAAAACCTGCTACACTGTCACAGTGGTCAAAACAGTCTGGTGCTGGTACAGTGAAAGAAAAATAAGGTCAGTGGAACAGATTTAAGAACCCAAAAGTGAATTCACTCACTTATGCTCAGTTGTGGTGCTGTGAGATAAAGCACTGGACTGCAAGGTCCGTTTGAACCACAAGATCAGTGGCTTAAACTCACCAGCCATTCCTTGGATGCCCCACACAGGATTGCTATGAGTCAGAACCACCTCAACTTAACAACAACAGCAGTGCTCAGTTGACCTTTGACACATTAAATGGGGAAGAGATAGTCTCTTCAACAAATGTTGTTGGCAAAACTGGAAATCCATTTGCAGAAAAATGAAACAAGACTCATATCTCACACTATATACAAAAAGGAACCCAACCAAGATTAAAGACCTGAGTATAGAACCTAGAAATACAGATCATCAATGAAAAAATAGGGACAAACTTAGAGGCTATGATATATGGCATAAATACACTATCAACCATACCTAAAAGCACACAAACAGTAGAAGACAAACTAGATGACAAGGACCTCCACGAAAGTAGATACGTGCATCAAAAGATTTCACCAGAACAGACAGGATGGCGGATCGAGTGGACGTGTAGCGGAGGGCTCCGCCAGCAGCAACGCGGAATGCCCGACCAAGCGGGCTCGGGGGATGGTCCCAGAACGCTGAACCACATGTGGGGGAGTGCTTGGAGAGTTGGAGGGCTCGCAGCTGGGGGAATTTTTGGCAGAGGCAGGGGGTCTGTTGCTTTCTAGTCCAGGATGGTCGGCTGCTCCGGGGGCCACAATCTTGGGTGGGACCACATGGGGGAAGGATCTGAGAGGCCACAGACGCCTGGCAGAACCACTGAGATGGAGGTGTGGACATTCTTTTCTTTTGGTGTTTGTTCGTTGGTCCCTTGCTGTCTGCGCACCTCCATTCTGGTGACTGTGGGGATGCCTGAGCTAGTGGGCACCCCAGCCCCACTCTTGGAGGGTTCTGCTGTGCATGTGCACAGATCTCGAGATTTGGGGAGACAGTTTCCAATTAAAACCAAACGGCCACAGCCGGCCCTGAACTGTTTCCAACTAGAAAAAAGGCCTGAACGGGGATTGTGGAGCAGGATAAGCAGACAAAAGAGGAAATAGGTCAAAAGTTAAATCTTAAGTTACGTCAAAATAACCAACAGTGGTATCTTGAAACTTCTCAGGAAGAAGAGTGAAAAGGGAA